TGGGGGTACCCCAGGGTACCATAGTACCCCGGCTCTCGCATAATGTCGGTGATGCAGTCATTTTTAGTCTGTTGATGGTCGGCGATGCGGCAATCGACTCCTCTCGACGAGCTGTACACGTTGCACTATTCAACGTTTAATTTTTCGATAACGGATTTTTATATGCTAATGTTTGGCAAAGAAGAACAGGATCGATTTCTGCCCCGGAGCGACGCCCGTTTTCTTCTTGGGACGCCAAGGTTTTCGCCTTCGGTGCCGCAGCGGTGTTCGAATCCACCATCGCGTCATTCCAAACAATCTGGCGTTTGTTCGAGCGGGTGGGGACTGCTTGCTGAATCGGGTCGTCGATCTGCGAGCTGATCTCGCTCGCGATTTCTGAGTAATATGGCAGGTATTCCGGAGGAATAGAAAAGTACTTCTTTGGGAGTGAGAGCAATTTTTTCATCGTCAGGCTGCCGACAGGAGTCGTCGGCAAACGGATTGATTGCAACGTCCCCTGCTTGATCGTGTCTACGTTGTCGCCAAACAGATCATGTAGAATCGATCGACGGACGAGTTCGACATTCTCCTGCTTGATCAGTGGGACATGGACGACCTCACTGTCGGGCGTCGAGCTGAGGTGTCTCATGTTAACGAGCCCTAAATCGATCTCAAAAAAGTAGTTGAACGTGTAGCGGGTTGGCATCTGCTTGAAGTGCTTCTTCAAAATCACGTCCCAGCCCGTATAGAATGGGCGTTTGGAATCGTGATGATTAACCAATATCGCCTTAATGCTGTTGACACGTCGTTGACGGCCTGAACGATGGCCATCGGGGTGTAAAAGTTCTTACCATTCATCGTATTGCGACACGATGCGACGACCCGATCGGCCTGGTATGAAGTATAGCAGAACGACTTTGCTGTAGAACAATTGTGACAGCATCGCAAAGAAACATCATCACCAGCTGCGACTTGTTTTGGCCGACACAGTTGTCGAGAATAACAAGCAAAGTGCTTGGCATCATGTGGGCCGTCTTCATGGTAAGCAGCTTCATGTGGTACACGAAGCAGAGGCTGCACAGTGCGTCTGCATATTTTCCTTGTGCGCACTTGTCGTAGAAAATGACCTTGTTGGCACCGCTCATGATGTTCGCTGGGACGAAGTTCTGGACCGTCCGGTTGGAATTGAAGTAATCCGCGGACGGGCGAATGTGACCGTAGTGCGGCATGGCGAAGCTACCGCCAAAATCCTCAATCTGGATAGTGGGAAGGCCGTTCAGTTCCTGCACCGACGGCAGTCCGCTCGGGTCGACGCCGGCTGCGTCGTCGTTGTCGTCGTAGTGTTTCGGAATGACGGTGTCGGGGACAATCTGATCAGGAGCGTGTTGTTTGACATACTCCTTGACAAATTGGCCACCGCTCGGCGCTGGCAGATGGCGGCGTCGAGATGCATGTTCTTCTCCAGCAGTAGGCGTTGACGTTCGTCATCCGGAAGATCCTTGCGTTCGAGCTGGATATCGATTCGAACGCAGCAGTGGCAAATGTCTTCGGGCTGTGTGCGTCAAGCTAAGACCGGGATAGTACATGTGGACGGACTGAATTCATCTTGAAAAGTACACGACACAACGGTCCTGGGCCTCCATCTTGACTTAGGAACCACCGACAGGGATGATCGAACGAATCTCATTTTCCGATGGCCCTGACTGGATCATGTTAATAATGATCCCCTCAGACTGCTGCCATTCCGATCCGTTCTGGATGGTCTCCATCGACGCCCAATCGTTCTGAATCTTGTTAATCGCTTCTTGACCCAGCTTGGCGATCACACGCTACAACGCCGTCATCTTGCGAGTGCACCGTTCACGAAGAATGCGACGAGGCACGGTCTGCTGCGAACCACCGACACCGCCCATCCGACGAATGCTTTCGATGCTCGATAACTTGGACAATCGCGAGGACACCGCCCCGGAAGCCGATGATGCGCCCGTCACGAATGTCGCCGCTTCTGCCGCCGAAGATGACGAGTCTGCCACCGACGAAGAGGCACCTGCCGCAGAGGATGCCGCTCCCGCCGCTGATGTTGACGCGCTCGACATGAACGCGAGGATGTGCTTCTCCCAGCCAGTCGCGATGAAGTTGGATTAGAAACTCTTTTGAAGTCCTCGATCTCATCGAGAGCTCTGATAAAGGCAGCTAATGGCCTGGATTCCCAATCGCCAAGATCCTACGCGATCACCTGATGCATACGAGCGTTCAGGGTTTCAGCGCAATCGTCCTCGCTGCGTTTGGACATCGCGCAGTAGCACTGATTTCGGATTGATTGGTACCCGAATCGCGGAGTGAAGTACACCCCTCGAAAAAAGTGTCCCAGATATAAATTATTTAATTGCCTCGGCCAATTTGTATCATTTGGTACCCTGGGGTACCGCCATAAGGATCAATTCTAAAACTAGGTACCTATTTGGATTTCTTGCAACAATAAAAACATCTTGTCGTTATTTATTAAACCTCTTTCGGTAATACTGCGCGAGCAGTGGTAGACAAGCACGCAAAACAATATTTACTTTAATAAATAACACTTACAAGGAAAAGTATTTAATGATAAGTTACGTTTCGGGAAGTGATCTTTCACAGTGCATTGAAAGGGCAGAGAGGTGCCTCTCGCTTATTGTTTGTTATTTCTGTTTTGGACAAAACCATCGCAAGTATTTGGTTTTTTTAAAAATATATAATGCATGCTATTTATACCAGTCATAACCATCAATAAACCATAGGATCCCACCCTGTCCAATTGCCTTTGTAAGGCTGAATATTTTACTTTGTATGGCATCACAAGCCAACATCATCTCTTAGACTCTTCACAAACGATCAGGCCCCCTTCACACCACCACCTTATCCGAAAGCCCCGGGGTAAATTTAATACTATACGCTTCCTCAAGGGGAGAGCTATTACGCCTTAGATTGTTTTTTTTGTTGGGGAAATTTGACATTAAAGGCATTATAGGCCAGCAATATAGGAAATTAGTTTTATTGTTGTGGTATATTGTATTTAAAGGAAGGCTTGCATACTTATGTAAAGCAATCCTTTGCTTTTTGTAAGTGCTGATAGTAAACATTGCATCAAATAAAGCTGCTGCTACCGAAAAAAACATTGTAAAATTACCTTGCCTATCTGTTTAATTTATTATTACAGCTTAGAATTGGCTCTTAAAAATGTCAAAATGAATTATGGCTGGCCTGTTTGTAAATAATCTGAATTGTTGATGGGATTTTAATTCCTTTTCAGAAGGATACACATTAAAGTCTTGAGTCATGCGCATAAAAGTGCAATTACCTCGGATGCATCAAACCGATATGGATTTCATGATCGCTTATTTGGCATGCAACAGAAATTCCAATTTCATTTTCTGGATATGCCTCCATTTTCATATAAAGAATAAGTTTGTCTCAACATGCATCCACATCCTCTGGTTATTTGGAGTTTACCTTCATCACTGAAATGTTCTATGAGCTTGATTATTTGCTTAATAGATTTTTACGTTTGTTTTATCGAGAAACGACGATACATTATAACGGTTGTGTTGTAAGGACTAAGGATGGCTGAGTGGGAGTTTTTTTTAGCGTTTGCATTGTCGTTAAGGAATCTCCGAGTTCAGTCCCCAGGCTGTTGTCTACAGTGCCAGGTTCACTTCCATATTCGCATAAGTACCAATAGCACTGGTCTTGCACCCGAATAGAGAAGGAGGGCACTGCTGTGTATAGCACAAGGCTACTATAGGATTTCATGTCGAGCTCCGTAGGCTGCTTAAATTCTGATAAAAGTTTTGTTATATAATTTTGTCCCGATGGCAGTACTCGGCACATTGCATCCTTAACCGAGATTCAGCATTTTGAGTCCGCTGCAATGAGGCTGCTTATTAAAAAAGATCTTATTTTATGGAACCATAGTGCCTCTGCATCGAGACTTTGTTGAGAGACGTGCGTGATGAAAAGGGCCTCATTAATCTATCTCTTCTGGCAGAATCTGGCGGTTACAAATGCCGTGGCACAGAGGCATCCTTAGCGAGAGTGAGGGAGCCGAGGCATAGGTGTGTGGGGAGAAAATGGTTCTCAAGAGAGCCTTTGTTAGAGGGGGGGGGGGGGGGGTAGAATTCTACACTCGGATGCATGTGCAAAATATCTCGTGGGAGGGCAATCATTCCCAACCAACTTTCGGGAGGGTCGAAACTGCCCCCTTTCTGGAATTCCACTCTCGAGCCAGTCCCCATAAGACCAGTGCACATAACCGGCCGTGCACTAGATCCAGTCTCCAGGCCATACTTGTACTTTTGCCGTAATCGTTCATCCCGTCACACGACCTTTTACATCCACTTGAATTTGCTTAACTTTCCTCCGTTGGAAAGGTCAAAAGGTTTGTGTTGATGTACAGTAAGCATTATCTTGAGTGAAATCCCTGAGGTAGCCCCCCTCATGTGCGTCGAAATCAACGCGTCCCTATGTTGGCCAAACATGTCCCCTTCGTGGTCATTTTCCTCTGCCCATCTCTGAATCGGTTAGGATGCAGAGCTGCTGTGGTTACCTTAAAGAAGTATTTATCTTTATGATGAGCAGATTTAGATATGAAGCCAATGCAGTGGACTCTTTTCAATGCCGCATCAATGAAGTGTCGAACAGTATGAATCTTAATGTGACATGAGACAAACTTGTTTTTTTTGTATGACTAATCAGCTCTTTGATTTTGTTTTACATGACTCTTGAGAGTAATTATGTTGTTTGCTGATCCTCCCTCTTGCGATCACACCACATTCCCTCCACTAGTAATTCTCTGCTATGTGGGTGTCTTATTTGCTGCTGGTGTCGCCACTCATTCATCATTGCTCATGGACTATTCTCTACCATACTAATGCACGCATGTGCAATTACACTTTTCCTGGCAGTCACTTAAGGTAAATGTGCATTTATGATGATGCATTTCGAATCTGTCAAAATTTACCATGCTTTCTTGTTTTTTGTTGTTGCAGGGGCTGTGGTCGGAGATGGTCAGTCAGCGGTGGCTAACAACATCGCCGACATCACGTACCGCCTGCAGTGGTGGGACTTTGCCAGCTACAACCTGCCTGAAATTAGCAATTGTGAGCACCAATTCACAGCAGACACAAGAACGACCGTATTCACCCAGGAGGATGCTCGTCAGTTCGCGTGACCTTAATAAGCAGCATTGTGCCTGGATAGTGCTTGGATGGGTGACCACCGTGCACAGCAGCTTGTTGTAGTCTGCTGTGAGGCTACGTGGCGGGCAGCGTAGCACAATACATGATAGTACTTTACTGCTTTGCCGTGAAGTATATTTTCCCACCTGCCTTCTCGAATCCGCAACGGACCATTGTGCTGAAGTTTGGTTCATCAAAACCCCCACTGCCTACACCACACTGGTGGAGGGCTCTTAGCCCGCAGTGGATCCACTTAGGCATGCACATGTAGATACACAATTAAATATTATGCTCAGAATTGCCATTTTTTACAATTAGTTTAGTTTCACAGGTTCCAAATTACAAACAGGAATACTTGGTTTTTAAGAACAACGCATCATGCAAGGTTGTGGATGTACCAAATACCTGTCACGTAATCACAGGTTTGCCTTTTAAGTTTTATCGAAGCAAAATTTATGAAAATGTATTTAGTACATGAAAATCTGCTGAGAGATCCTATTTATTGGAGAGCAGACTTGATTTGTTGTAAGAGTTAACAAAGTAGTGGGTGTATGTCCATTCAAGAGATTTTATTGGTCAAAATTCTGCTTTTGATGATTGTGCTGCTGGGCATAATACATGGATAACATTGTGTCCATTCTTCACGTGTTTTTAACTCTCTTTAAGTATAAGGATCACAATAAGTACTTAGCGAAGTCTTACGAGCGTACAGCCCCGCTTGGCCTTACGGCAGCATGTACGTTAGGACTGCAATGCGGTTGTATGTCCCGTGCCATCAAAATACGAAACGAGCGTTGCGATGTCTCTTAGATTATACTCTCACTGTTGTCATCCAGCGGCTCATTTGTCAACAGGTCACAATGCTGCACCAGTCCCATTTGGGTGCTTATACCTCATTGGCCGAGTAGCCGCAACACATTGGCGAGATCGATGGCCGTGAGAGCAAATCTGTTTCGCGTAATGAGTGGCGTGATGATATGCACTAATGGGCTGAAATGCAACTTGCGACGAACGATTGCACAGTTGTCATGGCAGAAAAACACTGGGCCATTAAAGCTATTTTTCTTCACCGTTCAGATGTTTTTACGTTTAATGAATGCTGAGTTCTTGGTTTTTATGCATTGATTCAACTGTGTGAAAATTGGACACATTTTCCTTTTGATAGATGAAATGTGGAACTTGAGTGCTTGCTCTATTTTAGCATTTTTGAGTAAAGTGGTTTATGCAGAGCAGCCACTATAATATTTGGCAATTTGGGGGTATACACCATGATTTCAGAATTCCATATCATTGTCCTATATATTTGTTTTATGTTTTCTGAATTTATAAAAAGAACTGCTTTGTAGAAGAAATAGCAAAATCATTGCTTCAATGAGATTTTTTTATGAAAATGGCCCTCGGTATTACGTTGTGCCTTAAATATCCCTCCTGTATGTTTTTGTTCCATAATTGAACACTGCAGTTGCCATTTGAAGCATGGAGATGATAAATAATGAACATTTAGTTAATGTGTTATTTGTGCAATTCTTATGGTCGAAGGCGATCACAAAAATGTATTAAGTTCCACCAATCATATAGAGTGAGTGATTTTACCCAGTTAAGTAATATGCAGATGATTTTCAATTTTTTTAAATTTGGTCTGTGATGCCAAATGTATTATCTTTAACATTCCATAGTTTAACTGACAGTCTATTTACATATGGTCACTTCATCTGGCAGTATTAATCAGGACGAGCACCGGGCTCGATGCGTAAAGCCTCTGCAACAAAGTGGAAAACTTGCTCCCCCTCGACCATATCACGGCACTCTAAGAGAAACACACATCGATGAAAGTGTGTTTCATGTGCGCGAAAGTAAAATGCCTCGTCAGTCAACACTCTGTGATGAACTCCCTCTATCTGACTCGAACGTTGTCTCTTCGGCAGCCAAAATCAACGTTCTGGTCACCAAGTGCAAGATCTACAACGACGCGAGTTGTGACATCTCGGGCGACGGTCGTCACCTGGCCGCCTTCGTGCCGGGCAGCCACCGGGGTTTCCCGGATGAGGGCGTCCTCAACGTTTACTCGCTGGCGCCACACAACCTCGGGGAGGTGCTTTACCAGCGCCGCTTCGGTGAGGATTTACCGGTTGGCCAACCCAGCTTTTCGGCGATGAAACGGCGTGCGTAATGTGTCCGTCTGTTCTTCATTGATGCGATGCGAGGTCGCCATTGAGACTGATAGTCTTGCTTTCAATGTGGCGCTGGGTCACAAAGTCATGCATTTCACATGTAAACTTAACAGTTGAAATACTATAACAAAACTCGTAACAAAGTGCAAAATGGATGACTGCAATTAAATAGTGTGACAGCCAAAGGAGGCAGGGGGGATGTTCACCGTGGAGATGGAGCATTGAGATCAGGAACATGAGGGATGTTGACAGCCTGGGGAGATTTTCATCCAGCAGTGGATTGATTGAGGTTAATAATGTAGACATTGAAAACATAATACCTTACAATAAGATGCATTCTAGCTATTTTAACTGCATAGGGTACATTTCAAAAGAGCTTCCATTCAGAGTGACCAAGGAACAAATCTAATTAAACATTAAAAACTCTGGCAATGGAATACTTTTGTTTTTAAATAAGAGAGAAGGAATATAATTATATCATCTGCAAGGAACTTAATAACAATAAAATAACAATTTCAACATGTATTTACTCTTGAGACATTTCAGGGATTTTGAGGCATATCATAAATCACAAGAATATAAATGTGGAATTAATAAATCGGATAAACGTTGCGTGGTAATTTGTTGGTAATTGCCTGAGAGAAAAACTTTGCCGATGTGGCGTGATGCCCGACTTTGATTTTTGTACCCCCAGATCGTGGTCATCCTTATAAAATAATTAGAATTGCCTGAGTGTGCTTGCTTTCTTTAGCGAACAAATTCGTTTCAGCCAAGAGGCGGCTACCACTTCTCTGTGGCCAGGCCGCTATTCAGTGTAGCTTTGGGTATTGACATGGCCACGCTGTGATGCATGGAACGGGGGTGGGTATTTGTTACGTTTATTTCATGTTAGATTGCCGTGCAAACCTCTCGTAGCTTTTATAAAAGTGAAGCAGAATTCACTAATCTTATTCGGCCTCAAGTGGACGTTTGCGTGTATCTTCTCTTCCAGCAAGGGACAAGTACGTTTTCTTAGTTAGCGCTTTATCGACATACGAAACAAAGTATATTTTACGTGACATTATTTGGTGATGCTGCGTTTGGCAGTGGTGCACGGATACATATAACAAAAAAATTCAACACTCGTCAATTTCACTCCGTGGCCTTGAAAAGAAAAATATATAATAGGTGACATTTCAGGGCTATGTCTCTTCTTTATATGCGATCAAGAAGGTCTATTGCTTGATATGCCACCTACTATATATTCTCACTTTTAAGGCCACAATGTTATGAATGTGCAGTGTTTTTTTAATATATATACGTAGAGATTGTGGCAAAAATATGCACGAGGTTACGTCAACTTTTAAGGGATACATTTAATTCTGAGTCATTTGCGGGGTCAATATGAAGGTACTAAAGTAATAATTTCCTGTGACAAATGCGTTAAATTTCATGGTGCGGGCAAAAATGTGGACAGCGAAATTGCAGAGGTGTGCCTTGCAATGTGCTTTTGAGAAATCCAAATTAAACAAAATTCCCCTCAATAAATGTCTAAATTTGGCAGATTTCTAAGGAAGCAGATTATAGGCTGGGATCTTTTGACATCTTGGGTGAATTATGTCGGTGAACAAAGCTCGGGCCAGCGTGTGGTGCTGCTTCCGTCCCTCCTGCCCTCATTCCCACATCGCTCCGGCGTAATTAAAAATTTCCTGTGAAAGAGATAGAGGGTGAGGCGGGGGTAAAAAAAAAATCGCAAGCTAAAAAACACAAGGTTGCTTGCTTGGGCATAATTACGTAAAATGAGTTATGTGCGTGTGCTGACTTCTAATGATGAAAAAAAGTTACATTTTAAACAAACACAGGTGAGAAGTCTACTTTAAAGCGTGCAGAATTTTCACTTGCAATCCGTGGAGCAGATGTGGGTGTGATGTGTTACTGTGGCAACTGTTCAGCATAGCACATTGGTGCCACTAATGGTCTCCTACCTTTTACCTCATGTGAACCTTTTTTTCCCCCACACAACACTCTCACCTTTGCTGGTGCGCGCGACGCTGTGCGGTTAATTGTGCGCGTGTAAATGGAAGTACACGGCACGTGTCTTATTGTCACGCTTGTGCTCTCCGTTGGCACGGACGCGTATCGCGTAAGCGCACCTGGGTGCGCTAACAACGACACGAGAGGGTTCTTACGTAAGTTGATTGCGCAAGTCATTGGGACGAACCTCGGTTACGGATAATCAGAGTTGTCGTGGCACGTAATTTGGAGGTTGCGCAATTAAGCAAAAGAAAAGTCATTCTACCTAAATGTGCCGGGCATCCCAGCCCATCATCATCATCACCACAAGCTTTTTGGCCAAGTTAGCAATGAGTATACTTGTGGTTGACTGCGTGTACATACACATTTTTATTACCAGTAATTATTTAAGATAATTATTAATTCATGGTCGCTTCAAATATTTATTGCTTGCAGGTGTATATCCATTTCTATTTAAAACTTTCGTGACTGCAGCAATTAATATTCTTGGTTCTTTCGGTAAAGTCACGTAGAAGGGAAATAATAAAAAAAGAAAAAGAAAACAATTAAATTCTCAGGACGTTTCGATTGCAACACAAGCAATCATCATCAGGTGTGAAAACCACAGCAAGAAGATTTTCACACCTGATGATGGTCGCTTGTGTTGCAATCGAAACGTCGTGAGAATGTTATTGTTTTATTTTTATTAATTTATTATTTCCCTTCTACGTGACTTTACCGAAAGAACCAAGATTATGTATATACATTCTTTCGTACATTTCTGGGATAAATGTTATAATGTTTAACCTTCTCCAGATGATATGGCATACCTTTTGCCCACTAGGAAAATAATTGCCATGACACTGTGCGAGACGGTAAAAATAAAAAAACAATACCATTGAAAAGTTAATGTGTAATTTATACATGATCATTATATCCTTTATGCGTGTTTATTTCCCATTGTTATTTTTAGGCATGCATCACCGTCATGAGTAGAAGTCGCTAGAATGGGTAAAACATGAATCATTATTTCTCCACGTGAGTGTTTGCGAAGGCTGGTTGTCTACCAACTGACAGCCAGGTGATTAAATTCTATTTCTTTTCCATTTTTACTCCTTGTAAACGTACGTTGCAATCCCCAGGGTCTTAGCCCCCGGTGTCGTCATTGTATCGCAGCCTCAGACTCTCCCGTTAATGGTTTTTGTCTGCGTATGCTACCGGGTTCTTATTTCCACTTGCGCGCACTCAAATCTTTTGGCAGCCTGTTGCAGATTTCAGTTTTTTTTTAAAGGTTTCCCCGTCATATCTCCTGACGGTTTTGTTTGCCCGGCGGAGCCTGATGAATGCGTAATATGTCCCGTCGTCCCATTGGGGAGCCCGGCGCGATCAAAATGTGTTGAGAATTATTTCTGTTTCTCCTACCCCCCGTGTTTGCCCGCCAGGCCCCAACGCCATATCCGTGAGCCTGTCCCCCATGGGGCGATACATAATGGTGGGACTCGCCTCGCGCAGGGTGCTCCTGCAGCCCTCCACCAAGCACATGGTCGCCCAAGTGTTCCGCCTGCAGCAGCCGCACGCTGGAGAAGTGTCCATGCGGGTAGGTGCCACGTGATATGCACGCGCACACACGCGCCCGTTTGTGTGTGTGTGTATGCCACCTTGGAATTGCACTCGGCCTCAAATGAGTACCTGGTGCGGTGTGTAAACATTGCCACTGGGAAGACAAAGGCGTCCAGGCGTGGTGCTGGCCACCCACCCCCTCATGGGCCGTGCCGGCCTTCATAGGTTATCGCTAACAGTACTTGCCCCAACAGTCTGTTAGAGGCTATACGGGGGATCTTTGTCTTGGAATTGCACTTTGACAGAAACAGTAATGCATACATTGGAGAGCGTTTGCAGATAAACGACAGCGTTTCGACTGTTGTGAAAATTACATGTATGTTGAACTTCTTTCGCACCATACTAATGGGTGCGTAAGAAGTGCAACATATGCTAACATACCCTGTGGAAGGTGCGGGGAAAGGACAACAAACTAAATGCATACATGGGCTTCGGCAGGACATGTCGCAAGGGGGGATCATCGCCAGAGGGTCGAGACTAACGACGGAGTGACAGCCAAAGGAGAGACGGCATCTGACCGTTGATATGGGAGTGATTAAAGCAATTGGTGTGCAGGTGCTAAGTGGAATATTACGTTGCAGGAACGCGAGATGGTGACTGCTTGGGTAGGCCTTCGTACAACAGTGGATTGATCATGGCTGATCATGTATGGTTGTGTGTGAATAGCCCAGTTGGTGCCTGCTTGTTTATGCAAGCTTTAGTGCCTGCACGCTGTTTGCACGCATCGATTGGAAAGTTTGCTTCATCGACACGTTTGCGTACAATTGTGGCGCACTGCCGGACACCCAATAAAAGCTCCGTCACACACGTGCACGCGCGTTCTCCAATGTGCAAGCAACGTGCACATAATGTGCACAAAATTCCTGCATTGCACCGTTATCGCTGGCAGCGCTTGCAAACCGGCACGTATACACTTAAGGGCAAGTCACAAAATTCATTTTTTTAATGTACCAAATGTTCTCGTCTGTGAATTCCTGGCGGCATTCATTTTAAAATTAAAGTGCATGTCCCTGAAGTTTTGGCACGACCATGACCCCATGATCTTTACACGAAAACGTAATTTTGATAACATTGGCCTTGCTGAAGCATGCTCTTTTCGCATTGTTTGAACAGCTTTTTGTAAAAACCGCCCGGCAAACGGTCCCAAATTGGCAGGTGTGCTCGCTCCGCGGAAATCTCACCCGCTTTAAGGGGCTTGGATGTGCTCAATGAAAGCCACCTGCATGGTATGGGAATGAGCAAAGAGCGAGGCTTCTTGGAGAATGCAGCGCGAGAGAAGGGTCTGCAGAGACGATGGCAATAAATAACAAAAAAATATTGATTGTGCATGCAGGCACGCGTCGTGTAAATGCCGTTGAAGAGGATGGCATTGTTTGGAGGAAAATGCGGCCGTTGCATTCAAAGAGGTGGCGAGAAAAATTGCATGGGCGACCCTCGGCGCCGATCACATTAGCGCCTTGCACTCGCTCGAAGCGTGATGCCTGCGCGGATAATATCTGCCCACTTGAGGAGTTGCACGTTTCCATTATTTGGACCGAACAAAGACCACCCTCTCCTCTCTTTCCATTTATGTATTTTAGCTCTGAATTTGGAGTCCATGTTGCTGTGTTGGTGGTGCTGTTTTGTTGGGAAGGTGGCTCCAGGGAGAAAGGAGGTTATAGTGGGAGAGAGGTGAGCAGCAGCGTGTTTGAGGCAGCCTGACTTGCCAGACTAACTAGCTCGCATGGGGGTGGGACGGGGGGGATAGCCCACTGGGTTCTATCGTTCATAGGTATTTCTTGAAGTTGCCGCTGGGAATATGTCCTCATTTTGCCTTCAAGTTGACAATAATGTTGGAGATGAGAACAATTCGGTTGGCTGTCCTTCTCTTCACTCAGCCATTTGCGCTGCTTAATTGGCAACTTTTTACTGTTGGCGTACGGAATGTGAAAATTGAACACGGAGAATTTTTTTCAGTGTTGTAACAGCTTGAGTGCCGAGTGGCATCTATTCCCAAATGTGCTCCACAGCCCGCAAACCTACTGTGACTCGCAATAGTGTAGCAGGAGGGCGAACACATAAAATGTGACAACAACACTCACAAGTGATGCACTACAAGAGATTTGTTAATATCACTTTACTACACTTGTCGACAACTATCGGGTGGGCGTTTGATATCTAACCATCTGGCCCAGACTACTTTCTGAAACATCTGCAGCACATGCTCACAATACCACACTTCATGCCTCTGTGGCTATTGCCACCTGACATGTGCTCACATATCCTTTGGAAAACACTGATTTGGCTATCACTGAACGTTGATGGAATAACATTAGCACCGCAAATTATTGTGCTCCTGCATTTAGTAGTAATTGCTGTCCTCAAATCTCCTGGGTGAGACTAGGCGCTCTTGAATGTAGTAATACTGCACCGTGAAAGACCTTCAAATGTTTCTATTCATCGCATGTTTATAAGTGGGTTGCTTTTCCCAAGCTATATCTCATGTCACGATGTTGGTGATGCTGCGTTGGCAGTGGTGCACACGTAATGAAAAGACTCAACACATTCATCAATAACGCAATTATTTACCTTTCAGGAAATTATATAAGAGATGAAGTTTCATGAAGAAGTGTAATAATGAAGTGTTATAAAATGTTCTATAGAGAGGGACAATTGGCCCAAATGTCACCTTTTATATATTTTCCTTTTAAGGCCAAAGGATGTGTTTATTTATTTGTATATTTAATATGGTTATTGCCATGTTAATGGCTTATGGCATGATGCATTTGCCAGGATCATCTTGCAAATTAAACAATTTCCACGTTAAAAATTAAGTTGTGATTAAAGCTAAGTGGCTGCCATAAAAATGTTTTTTAGTTGATACTTGAAATGTATTTGTGCAAAAATTCTCATCCACTTTGGGCAAAACATTTGATTACAAGCTTCTTTTTTGTTTCCGCTGCCTAATTGAATTGCTTATACTAGTAGGAACTTCCTGGTTACACCAGCCCACGGGATTATTGTGTCCGTCCTTCATGCAGGGAGGGGCTGGGTGGGGAGGGAGGGGCTGGGTGGGGAGGGGAGGGTGGGGAGGATTAGGAGGGGCTGGGTGGGGCTGGGTGGGGCTTTGTGGGAGGTGTGGGGCTGGGTGGGGAGGGGCTGGTCACCCCGTGGTGCCCTTATAAAACTCAACGTTTAACCTACTCATGCCGGCTTGTGCCCGCCCTCACAGTCGGCCATATTTGCGGAATACACCATGCCGCCGTTGACCCTGGCCATTGACCGAGCAACCCAACGTTCCTACCAGCTCCCTCCACAGGAATGTGTTCAAGAAATTATAATCCACTGTGTTTCATATGGAGAAATAAAGAGAACACAATTTCCAGTAAAAAAAAACCATTAAGACATGACAGGGCACTAGAGCAGCAAGGTCACACAGTGATAACACTCGTCCCTCAGAGCAAGCAGCACCTGGGTTTGATTTTCTAGTCAAGCGCCTTCTTGTGATGAGCTTGCACGTTCTCCCCCTGTTCTGCATGGGTTTTCCAGTTTCCTCCCATTGTAAAAAAAAAACAGTGTATAACTGGTATTGGCCAAAAATCCTGCTGCTGGAAAATTACCTGCAAACTACCTGAAAAATAGTTTTGAGACCTTTCCCGGATTGAACAAGCATAATAATAATACTTTTACATGGTTTACTTAAAATTTTGTAAAAACAATCATTCTTCGCTCTGGGCAAATATTTATTCTCAAGTGAGGCTGCTGGTAATATTTACACTCTTGTAAAAAAATTGTCCCACAACAGCCTATGCTTCAATAATACAAGGGCCGCTTCTTCTACACCAGTGGGAGGAGAATGTCATCTTCTGAGGCGCATGGCGCAGTGATCATTGTCTTCCGTGACCGATGAACACCAACGGGGGGTCTCCCTTTACTGTGATTAAAGCGTCTCATTTATTGAGATGCAGACCGGTTGGCCCCAAATTGTTGTCACAGTTCATAATGCATTTTTGGGTCGGGTGGTGCAAGCAAAAAAGTGTGGCCTAAACCCTCCACATGACGCAGCCAATTAAAGAAAGTTGTCACTTGGAACAAACCTGCTAATTTATTATCACTGTTGGTGTTGGGAGACCAGTCCGCACACATTTCACAAATTGTTGCCATTAGCGACATTGGTGTTGCTAGCAAAGCTATCGCCACTTGTGGCTGACACTGAGCGATAATACGACCCCATCTTCCTGTACTCGGAAGTGTTGACTGGAGCAGGCTCGGTGTTTGTAAGATGGATGTGCAGCGAACGGGCATTACGGCCTCGGCAGTTCAAGTGGCCCAGGGGTTCTGCTTACATCGGGGAGACGTTGGCCGTTCTTGTTTGGCACGGGACGAGGGCTTGTGCTCGCGCGTCGAAATTTTACCGCACGGCAGCAGGATGGTAGGCGCTAATGACGGTTGACTCTGGCGAACAATCTGACATTTGTCTCTTCGGTGTGGGCGAGAAGTGCTCCTCTTCATTTCTAATTATATTAAATGCCGTGACAGGCATGCAGGGCTCGGCCCACACCCCCGCCCCCCACCACAAATACCCCCAAACCACCCCCCCAACACCAGCCATCCAACACTTCCCTTTGGACATGCGCGCATCATGTAGGTTTTCTCTAGCGCTGGGAATAAAATGCCCATCTCGTGGTGGACCGCAGAGGCTGGCGGTCGTGTCTGCTGTGGACACATGCTGCTGTAATTATGCAATTTTGAGCTGATTTCCCAAAGGGATAATAGGCTAAGGGACTGCTCACTTCGCCTGCCCACATACGTTCAATAAGTCAACAGGTATCCAGGGAACATGGGGGGGAGTGTTACATATATAGACACGTATCATTTATGATCTGAATGCGGAGAACGTTCCTGTGGGAATTTCCAAGTGTGTCCTTGTGTGCTGTATCTGGAGATATGATATAGTGTGCATTTTAATGTCTATGGCCTTTTGCCACTACCTAGATCAAACAAAACTTCAGTGTTACAGGTATCCATAGCACACCCCATATTTTCATGCAGATTAGTTTTAAAATTGGGCTGCTTAAATGATGCTCTTTCTCTTCCATTGTGAAATGAACAAGAAATATTTGATCCGAGGAGTAATGGCTAAGGGTACAGGCAATGTAGCGTTCACCCAAAAACTGTACAGAGAGACGCCAAAATGAATGGGTGTCGCATCCTGCGACAGAGACTCGCGCGGAGAAGCGAAGCATTCAATATTTTAGAGACTGCAAAGTAACCGCCCCTGGCTACCATCCCTACCCCTGGCTGCACGCGGCACCATAATGCTTGGCTCACAGGAACAAGAACGATGCCTTTTAAGGCTGCATTTCCTGCGAGATTGCAGCTCACACTGCCCCCATTTTTAAAGCAACTTGGATAGCTCTTTCCCCGGCTGTGTCCCTTTGCAGAGGGAGCCTTTTCATCTCTGCAGAAATGGAAAAAGTAGCCAAGCAATCAACTTGCGAGGACACATTTGAACACATCCACCGACAAAAACGAGTCGACTGCGTGCATCTCAGGAGTGTTTAAAACGTTGCATGCATCGAAAGTGACGGGGAATAATAGTGAGGACAGTGGAAGATTGTATTTGTCGTGTGCAGAATTGCAGTGTGGGTTCAAAGCTGTGATGTCACGTGTGGATGCCTCTCTTTACTTGCGGTTCTAAATTTGGCACGTCATTCACAACTTGTCCCATTTCCTTGGTATGCAGTCATCATTGTTGACAATGATAACTTCACACGTAGTTTTTCGTATAATCGTTTTTCAGCATTGTTTTTATCTTCCACTCTTGTTTATTGTTAAAGTATTTTGATGAACCCTTGGTAAAATGTCTGTCATTTCCTGCTCATTTTCTTGACAAGGCGCAGAATAACAAAAACAATAAACATGTAATGGATCATAGAGTGTCCAGTTGTTTATCTCCATTATTGCGGGTTTTTAAATCATTAGTGTGAGACACTTGTGAATAGTGATTTAATTATCTCGCCTTTTCTGAGAATGGTGTGGCATCACACGTAAGATTTTGCATACCAAATGACGGTGGCTTGCACTTGCGATAGCACTTAAGTCGTTTTGTATCTGCCGCTATCATTAATCTTTGCCACCTCTCTGCTCTACAGCGGGTGTTCAACGTGGTGTACCCGATGCCGCCCGACCAGAGGCGTTACGTGAGCATCAACTCGGCACGCTGGCTTCCGGATGTGGGGCTGGGCCTGGCTTACGGCACCAACCGGGGAGACCTCATCATTTGCCGACCCATGTAAGCCTCTCCCCCACCGCCGCTTTCCGAACCCATAGCACCCCACCAACGCGATGCAGTCGTACGCCCACCCATCAACTCGCCCTGTTCACAGTGTGCTCCCTTGAATACTCCTCCTTCCACCAAACTCTCTCTCTCACTCCTCCTGTCCCTTGGGCTCATTTTCGATTGTCAACATGTGGAAAGAAAGTCGGTTTACCTGTACCAAATATGTCAGGGTTTATACCGAATCATTAAACCGTTTTTGGGGAAATATGTTGAACGTGGCCCCGCTTTTGTAATGCTATCTTCTGGCACAGCAGACGGCAGAGCAGCAGAATTTATTATTGTACTGTATGTGTATGCTCTCCACCTTTGCCAACCTGCACTGGACCGATGTAAAGTACAGTCTAATAAACCTAGTAACCCGCATGGCATCAGGAGGCAAGCGGGACATCGAGCTGTTCGTGTTCATAAGATGCATTGGTCTGCTACACTCCATTTTGATTGATTACCTTTGCACCAGTTAAGAGCCCATTGAGACAAGAAGTCTCTTCCAAGGGTGACCCAAGTAAAAAAAATGCACAAACAGCAACGTAGATACATCAAGCAGCAAAAATAGGTTCCTGAGTAGGCATGTAACTGTGCATTGATTTGTCAATGAAAATTGATTCTTATGCTCACAATACATGCATCAAATCATGCGTGTGAGAGTCGATGATTTTTGATCCGTCTATGTTGTATGTAATTGATTCTTGTGGTCCCTACAGCTAATAGAGGCACTATATTCTTCACCGCATTGCTTACAAAAGAGAATCAATTCTGGAATCAAATTGTGACCCTGGATCGTGAAAATGTTTCAAATGTTGGAAGGGGTGGATACGTAAGGTGAATTTCCTAAACAAAGTTAAAATATCTTCTCGGTTCTTTCGGTAAAGTCACGTAGAAGGGAAATAATAAAATAATAAAAATGAAATAAAATAATTCTCGCGACGTTTCTGTCTTTCCGACAGACCTGTTCTTCACCTGAGGACGGCTGCTTGCGTTGTGGCCGAAACGTCGTGAGAATTATTTTATTATGTTGTATTTTATTTTTATTATTTTATTATTTCCCTTCTACGTGACTTTACCGAAAGAACCAAGAAGATGAATCGCTGCAGTCACGAAAGCTTTAAATCGAAAGTTAAAATATATTCTTTGTCGTCTGCAGATACTCTGCCTGCAAGACCTGATTTGCGTTACGTGTGTCGTTATGGAGAACACACGAGCAGATTGTCGCACACTGCATATTAAACGCCTAGGATGCACAATTTTTACCATTCTCCAAGTAAAAGATGAATGCATGCTTTAGAAGAGTCGAATGGTTCACGCAGTATGCACTCTTCTAGATGGGTTTTTCTAAGTTTAGATTTTTCACAGATTGTCATTGTGAGCATGATTTTCTTGGGGGAAGATGTCAAAAAGTAAAGTTTCTCTGTTCAAGTGCCCTGTTCTCAACACCAGCGAGAATAACTTTCCATTCCACCCTGCGACAGAACGTGATTGTTTATTGCACAACAAACCATAGTTAAAATTCTCAAGAGATGAAAGTTTAACCACATTAGTGCAAAACCTAATTTTAACCTGATGGGTCTTTTTGAGCATTGGCAACTGTAGTCAAGGCCATAAACTATGTGCTCTTGACTCGTTTGCCTCAAGTCCATGCTCCAGACCATCACCCAAGACCTTTATCTTCTTCTCTACCTATGACAGTTTTGTTTTCTAATTTTTCTATATACTACATATGCTTCTTTGTTCGCCGTAATGAACACAGTCCACTGACTTGAGATAAGTTGCATTTGGACGCGAGAGAGATTAAATTGTATGAACTACGGACAACCATGTGGATCATCGGAATAATTTCAGCGAATAAATGCGGTCCCATTGGTTCCCCCACGCTCCATCCCACCAACATGTATAACAGGAGTTTCATGGTTTTTATAAAGGCAATAATGTTCATAGGTATGAAACAATACAGAGCAGCTAATTGCAGTGGGTAAAACGGTGAACAACAAATTTCACAGCGGTTTGGTGCGTGGCGGTGTGTTACCGGCAAAAAATTCTGTCGAGTGTTCCGATTGCCTCTAATGTGTGCATTTAGTTAGAAGGCTTGTAATTGGCAAAGTGAAATGTGCGTTCTTTGTTTGCGTTTTTGTTTAGCGTCCAGCACGAGCCTGACATACTTCAACTCCATTAGGGGCATGCGGTGGTTTGACCTCTGAACTTTGTATGGGGAGAATGCTTTTAGCTTTTGTTTGCAATCCAAAAAGGAAAAAAAGTAACCCTTATTCAATTAATTACCTGTTGCAGACATTTAAATAATTTTCTCTGTCATTTTTAAAGGAAAGTTCGGGCTACGCCGAAGGGTCATTTATTTGGTTGTAAGTGCTGCGCGGCACATGGTGATTTGTGTGGCTGTCTGCTGTGTGTTACGAGCTGCCTGTTGCGAGCTTAACATCAACGTAGTGTTTTATGTATGAAGGGTAACGTGCCGCATATGATTTACACTTCTCCTGGCCACACGTCATTATTTGTTTTGTCTTGTGGTTGTGCGTGGAGCGTGTGTGGCGTATCCCGTGTTGCACTGCAGGTTGTATATGATGCGAATCTGCACTTTGTGACTGTGCCGTGTGCTGTCGTTTGCAATTGTGCTTTGCCGGTTGCCCCTCCCGCCCGCCTCCCCCGCCCCACCCCAGCGGAGTGGACCCAAGCCTGACTAGCGATGTGGGCTGGGACAATCTTTACACGCTGTCAGAGGCCGTGGACTCGTTGCAGAGCCGTCGAGAGCCTGTGCGCCCTGGGTGAGCACCCATCACCGTCGTCGTTATGATCGCCGCGACATGTTACCATCCCGCTGGCTCTTTGGCACTGAACGCATCTCACGTCCGACATTACTCGCTCCTCAGCACAACGGCCGAGGATAACATGAACACCTCGATTTGCAAGATTGATGGCTTAAAAAAAACTCATTTTTTTGCATTCAGTCGGAGCTTTCTGGGAGCTTGTTATATCAAGTGGAATAAATAACATCACTTTGTGAGGTTTATTTGAAAATGAATAAGGGATGAAAACCGGCCTACAGAAGGTTATGGCAGCATAGAATATGTGCAGGCTGCAATAAAGAAATATGCTGGCCAAAATAACACTTAGCTTTATGGAGGCTATGTATCATGGACTGCCTGAAACAAGAAATCTAACATTAAAATCGTGATCATGTGTGCCATTATAGTGTACTCTAGTGACGTTACTACAATCACTTTTTTTATACTCAATGGTATTGACTTCACATTTCTCCTTTTGTGTGGCATTTGAAAAGCAACTGACAAAACATTACAACTGTCTCCATTTTGGTAATCCATCCGATGGCGTCAGGATTTTTTTGATGTGCAGCGTTCACAGTAATGTAAGACGTCATTGATCTAATCTTAAAGTCTTATTTTTGTGTGAACAAAGCTTCATAATGCCTGTATAGGACACCCGAGGACATACATCCAAAGTTAAATATCTAGTATATGAGTGAATTGGTTTTTGGTTGAGAGTTTAATCGCGAAACACATTTCGCGGAAACGAATACGAGCGCTGCTTTAAATCAAGATTGAGGGGTCGCGTGCGTGGAACGGGGGAGCTTCAGGAAAGCTCGATCAAATTAAGATTGAGATCTTGCACGTGCGTGTGCGTTACAGGTGACGTGCAGAGCTCGTTCAAATTGTATTGAGATCGTGTGTGCGCTTCTCAGGTGACTTAGAGAGCACACTAATTAAAAAGTGCCCTCTACTTGGCATGGCGTTGTTTTTCAATAATGAGGCCGTGCAGTGTGTAAGGGCTTAACCTATTAACTTAACATTTAGGTTTTTAGAAGCCAAGATTACGATTTCTAATGAAATTTTTGAGTTGGACCATGTAATTATCTTTTGTTCCTTGACGTCAGGACAACTATTTCAGAAGCCAGGGTCAGGTGATGTAGTTATTCTGCCTTCCTGGATCTTGTCCTGAAGATGGTTGAAGTAGTTCAAACAAAACGTCTTGTATCTAGTTGACTAATTTGGTTGTCAGAATATTTTTTGTTGGATGCTTTGGGGTGCGTGTGTTGAAACAATAATGTGTTGTTATGTTGAGTGGTGAAGGGTCTTAACGACTTAAATTTGGCCAGATCATTACGTGGCCTAACCAATAATCAAATTAATTATGGAGTTAATCTGTATTTGAACGGCGGACCATGGTGGATCGCGAGGCCTGGGAGTTTGAGAGACCATGGTCCAGATATTTGGTGTGAACTGCGCCGATTAAGAAGCGCTCTCTACATCACATGCAGCTTTTTTTAAATACTGACACGTCGATTTTCACACATCGGCATGTAACGTTTATCCATTTCCTATAAGCTTCAACGAGTCTCGGTGAGCCATTGAGCGAGCCGTCGCATAGCGGTTGCCACGTCTGATTCGGTGCCGTGTGTATGTTGTGTGTGTGTGCGCCACAGGTCTGCGCCGAGGTCGGATGCGTTCAGGCCCGACCGCGAGTTGGCGCTCATGAGCGCCATCGGGCTGCAGCCACGCGGACCAGGCTCTTGGTCCGTGACCACTCAAGGAACGCAGACGCAGCGCCACTTCCTCAGCGCCAGCACACAGACCGACGCCGAGCACGGTACGCGAGGCAGGCACGCATGTGCGTGTGTGCCGACGAGATACAACGCCTCTCGGCACTTGCAGAGTTGTCCATTAATCGGCGCCGTTGTATATTTTTACCGAGACTCCCAATATCACGAACCATGGCGGACGGTACAGTCAGATGTAGGGCAAAGCGACGTTAGGAATTACTTTGTGGACATAAGGAAATAGGACTTCTTCTTGAAGAGATGGAGCCAAAAATCGGCTCGTGTGCAGGTGCTCGATGGGATTGTTACATGGCAGGATGGTGAGAGATGCCGACGGCTTGTGGAGACCTTCATCCAGCAGTGGATTCATCCTAGATGATGATGATGACCAGGACCTTAACTTAATAGGGCGAAGCTGCTTGGCATCTTCATTTAGGTTTGATTTGAGAAAACATCGTAAGCATAATTAAAGTACTTTATGCAGATTGCTTGTTTTCTGTTTTGGTTGCTGGTTAATTTTTTTATGAAAACGTGGCACGCTTAAAACACTTGCCATCAACTAGGCTTGTAACGATTCTTGTCACCCACACAATTCTATGAATTGCTACGATTTGGAGTCGTGATTCTATTAGAATATTTTTTGTCCTAGTGTGTTTAACATGGTGGCCTCTGGTGGCTGCAGTAGTCACATGATTGTATTGTAAAGCATATGCTTGGATAATTATTCTGAAAGCGTAATATTTGATGGGTAATATTGTGAGCATAACAATGGATATTGGCGAATCCATGCATCGATGCATTGTTTGACCCTTCATGTCAACCCTACCGTATATTGTGCGACATGTCTCGAAGCACTTCATATCACATCTTCTCTCAAACATTTGAAAGGGCACCCTCCAAGTTGCAGCTGTCCTTGTAGGCACGCGGTGACTCGGCGCTTGGCCTCCAAACGGGCATTTGTCTGCCAGTAGCAGGCAATGATTGCTATGTGTGATCTCAATTGAGTATTTTGTGGATGATTGTTTTAATTTGGCAAGTAATATCGTGCAATGTGCACTTTCACACAATTAATTGTGCCACTATTGGTCAATTGTCTCAGCAGCCCTTCATGCAAGAGACTAAAACTTCATTTATATGCACAGCAGAAGCATCTATAATTATAATAGGGTTAGAATATCATGGTAATAAAATAATTAGATCTGACTTACCTGCGAAAGTCGCATATACTAATGAAAATACAATTATGATAACCGGGCAGAATATAATTCTTGGGTGATTAAACATGTTCCACTTGAATTATTTGAAAATCATTATACGAAGTACATAGGGTATTTCACACTCATTTGTATTGCTGGCTACATGCAGGGTAAACAAAACCAATTAACAAAATGACATTGTGGAACACAAATTGGTAAATTACAAGAGCGCAGCTCCTGAATTATTCTGTGAATTTGACACGGTGAACTGAGCAGACGCAAGTACACGTGCACTGCGTATGGTATAGAACGCCACTTTGCTGATAGTTGTGATGAAATACCCTAGTTCCTCTCTTTCAAGTTAGCCCCTTTTAGTTAGATCTGTCAAAAAAATTATCTTAGAAATGATGTGATGGAAAAACAAACCGTCACTGGCACAACACCCTAGCCGTTGTGATGAAAGTACGGGAAATTAGCACTCCTTCAATTAAAAATCAACGCACTTTCTTTAAATTTACGTTGAAAATAAATGAGCCTGTTTTCAGAAACTGAAAATGAAAGGAGTTGGGGTCCAGCCCTTTCAAATGTCTGCGGCTTGCGTTATTATTGCGTACTGATTAAAATGCGGTAATGAGCCGAGTCGACTTCACTTGTACTCCCCCCCCCCCCCCCCCCCGTGTCATCAGTGCATTATTGTTATGAGGGTGACCACCGTCAATTTTAATTGCATGCTTCTTTCACTTAGCTCGCTTTTGTGAGTCTGTACGACCAAGCTTTGTTGATCATGCTGTTTATTTGCGCATCCGCTGAGCATTATTTGCAAAACGATTAATATTTGGAATTGTGCGAAAACATCACCGTGCAAAGTTTCAGAATTCGCCAACTTTGACAGGCCCCCCCCCCCCCCCCCCCCCCCCCCGTGCGTGCGTTTTAATGCCGTGTACCCGTACGAACAAATGCGGGGGGGGGGGGGGGGTTGTTTTTATTGTTTATTTCCTTGTTTACGTGTGGACGAGCGTTAGTGCAGCTAAACGAAACCCCAGCCGTGTGTTGGTGAATGACGGGTTCAATTTATATGCGTTGCTGTGCTGCGGGGAACGGGGCAGCGGGTTTGGGGTTGTGGGTAGTGCGCTGGAGACTGTAAGTGATGTTAATGGAGAGGGATCCCACTAGATTTTTTTCCCCCTAATCCTGCTGAGATTGGCTTGCCCTTTGCTCCTTTCCCATAATCTCTTTCTCTCCCCATCTCTCGCCCCTCTCCCTTTGATTTTGCAGCTTTAGCAGGGGGCCTCTGAGCGCCTGGTGCCACATCTTACCGTCCATTTGCGTGGCAGTCATTGAATAATTATTAGCATAGATATTTTATTTACATTTTCCCCTGGGTTTTATGGGCTTATTATTCACGTGATTATCATCGCCTTCCATTATGTGGCAGTGTCTGCTTTTCCTTTTTACCCTTCACTCTAAGGCACACACATTGCCCCATTCTAATTGGCTGCCGGGAAGCAAAGAACCACTGCAGTTTGTTAAGTTTCCTTGGAAACAACGCACGCCCCCCCCCTTCACCCCTCGCAGCCGGCGTCTTAGAATCATGGGACCATGCGCCGTTAAGAAGAAATAACAAGCATTGAGACGAGCCGTGCACAGGTCATGCATTACCGCAAATTGGGTTGGGAAAGAAAATATAAAGAGTGCATCGAACATTGGCCTCGCAACTGCATTGTTGGCATTCTTCCAGGATGAAAACACAGCTGTGTGCGTCGTCTCGGCATGTTGGGATGCTCAAACATCCTCGGACTCTGCTGCGGTGTTGATTCCAGTGACCTGTATTGATTTTTTACTGGCGCGTGTTTCGTGAGCACGGCCGCAGCAGGTGCGGGCACAGCGATAGCCCCAACCACATTCAATCGTTTTTGGTTGCCCGGTGGATTTAACTCAGGGCTTAGTATAGGATGAGTGTGTACTTTTGCGTTACATCTTGGGGCGAGCGGTGGTGTAGTGGTTACGGTAGTATAGTGGTTACGGCATGGTGCTATGAACCCAGCGGTTTGAATTCAATTGCCGCTCATGGACAACATTTGCGAATATTTGAACTTCTGCGCCCTCCTCTAGGTCGACTCGGCCTTGAACGAGTATCTGGTAGTGTGCTTTTACATCAGCACTGGGGACACAAAGGCAACGGTCATTGTGCTGAAGCCACCACCAACTCATGCTCCGTTCTGCCCCTTTATAGGTGCTCGCTAACGGTATTTCCTCCTAACAGCCTTTTTTTAGGCTATATAGGGCATGCTGACAGTTTGTATCTTGTTTCATATTGCAGTGCATTCAATGTGTTGCATTAAGGCTGCTTGCTATGGCTTTCCTAGTGTGAGGCGCAACTGTTGAATTCTCAGCCTTATTGCCTTATAAGGAGTCGGCATCTCACAGCAGTGCTATTGTCAGGCTGATATTACGTGTGAATTATTAATTAACGATCACGCAAGGTGATCATCCATGCATCAGCGGGGAGGTGTTTTATTCGTCACGTTGAATACAGATGCATACACACGACGTTCAGTTCCTAGATAGTTTTACAAGGTACATTGTGTACCTTCATTAACGCGTGTTGGTTTAGAAGGGAATATTTAAATAATATACCCCTTGAAAGGCGCCACCATCCATTCATCATACCACGACTGCGTGTCTGAGCTGCGGATGAAATGGAGTGCCCTAAATATGCCACGTTCTGGCTGAGCTTTGGCATTTGAGAAAAAAATACTTAAAGCGTTGTCATTTGTGATGGACAGTCAAATAGCTTGCATAACATGGCATGGCGTTTAGTTCACGGCTGCTTTTGGGTGAGGTCGTTCAATGGGCGCTCTCCCATGAGTCATTATTTTACTGCAATGGATGCACGTACGGCGCGAACACATTTAGACGTTGTTCCCGCATTGAGTTGAGCCTGGTTGCACCGAGTCTGTGGTAATGCCACTTTTCTTCTCCTCCAGCGCTCGCCGTATTCTTCAGGTATCGGTAATAATGTGAACGATAATAATACATGAACAAAAATAAACAACCAGATTTCCATGTGTGCAGCAACTTTCATGTTCTCAGGTCAGTCACCCTTAGCTGTATGAATAATTATCACGTTACTTTTAGTTCATCACGTTGTTTTTCGTTTAGATTTAGTTTGGCTTATTCCAACTTGGAGCATTGATTTTTTTTTATTGAAATGCAGCAAACTGTTTACAGAGCCTATACAGTGATACCTCGGTTCACGAACTTAATTCGTGAACTGACTCTGGTCGTGAACCGAATTGGTCGTGAACCGAGGCACATTTTCCCATAGGGTTCAATGTAAATCCGGTTAATCCGTTCTGACCTTTTTTTTTGGTTTTTGAAGCACAAAAATATGAAACAAATGACAATACACATTACTGTAGTACTGTACAGTATAGTAATGTATAAAGAGAGAACACTAACCTTGCTTGAGATGACTTCTGGCATGGAGGTAGGCAGGTGGTAGGCAGGTGGAAGGCGGGTGGGAGACAGTAAGCACTCAAATGGGTGAACTGTACAATACAGTAAGTACAGTATTGTACAGTACAGTAGTACAGTACTGTATGTGCTAAAAAGCACACCAAAAATCAAAAAATCACTGAAAGTGTCTTCACAGTACTCGCAGTACTTCTTTCTGTGTCTCTGCTTCTCTCCACGATCTTCCTACAGGAAGTCACGACGATGTGACAGCCTGGAAATAGCATTAAAATGGCCGCGGCTCCTGTTCGTGAACCGAAGCGGAGTTCGTGAACCGGAGCATATTTTTATGAAATTTTCTGTTCGTGAACCGAGTTGTTCGTGAACCGAAGCGTTCGTGAACCGAGGTATCACTGTATATAAAAGTTGTGTCCTTGTGTGGGCACTTAGGCCTGCTGATGGGACTTTCCATGAATAGTTCTGTGACGTCATCTTCCGGGACCATTCGGACACGGTGAACCAACCACTGCTCGCTGATTTCCATTTAGAAACGTTTTTGTCTCCGGCGTGATGCTCGCACAGCAATTGGAATACGTTACTATATTCCCTGGAAGGGAAGAGAAAAAGAGTAACATTAAAACATTAGAGAATGATGAAGCTCTGTTTTACACGGTAAACAAATAGAGTGAAATGTTATTAGTATTCCCCCTGTCAGCTCAGAGCCAGAATGTTTCTAAATGCTTGGCGGAGGGTAATTGAAGACTGTGCTTGCTATGTAGATCCAGGAACTTGTCCAGATGGTGGTGGGGGGAGGCCTTGGAGTGCTCGTGGCTCACACTCGGTGCCACCCCCCCACGCACTTCCCTTACCCACTCACAAGTTGCCTGCTTCCACCGTTTGGTAATTCTGGGATTCACCAGTGGCTTGCGGGGAATGTATATGTGTTGAACTTCTTTCGCACCGTACGTAGCCGACCGTGCTGATCGGAATGGTGGCACGTTGCTGTCTGTTGCCGGCAGTTTGAACGTTGAAGGGGTTTTGGCCCCGTTTGTACTCGTGTTTAATCCAGCCGAGGTAAAATGCATCTGATATGAACACCGCAATAGATTCCCTGATTGTCTGTAATTAAGTTTTATAAACAGTTATGCACCTCCCAAGAGGCCGGTGGTGGTGGCAGAGAAATGGCAGACAGGAATTTAATCAGTTTGGGCACTTTGTATATTTATTTTATTATAACATTGTGCGCACTGTGTGACACTGAACTTAAATGCATTGGGTGATGGCTGACAGGGTGTCGCCCACTATCCGGTGTATTTGAATTCATATGCAATGTGAAATGGTGATAGAATTAACAAGACTCATGTTAGAGCCTGTAATTGCTTATAACAGACACCAACGTGATGCATTGCTAAGTACCATTCCCCTGTACCAGAGCCAAATCAAATACTGCTTGCAATATGTTCTATTTATTATTCAAACTCGGCTATACACCTCTCGTACCAAAGCTCATATTTCATTTCCCGAAGGCACTTGCATCATTTTCACAACTTTGGCAGATTATAAATCCTTTGTGGCCTCTAATTATCAAGAATCCCATTATATTTTTAACACTGTTAAGTGATAATGTGGAGCGTCGTTACTGTGGAGCACTGTGAGCATGTGGCATTTCACGTGGCTAAATGGCGCATGTGGGTTACATGATATAAGATCAGGGAATTGATTGTGTCACTTCAGACTTAGGGGGCCCAGAAATAACTTGCAGCTCTTTTGTCGCCAGATTCAAACGTTTGCAGGACTTGGTTTGAGAAATATTTAATTTGGCAATTCCATTGGGTAATGATTTTTTTTTGTTCCATTGGCATTTTTTGTGCCATTTTACACGCGTAAGTTGTGTTTGGAAGTTCTTGGTTGATAAAGGGTTGCTCTATCAACATGCGGTAAATATCGCGGGTCGTACATTTGGAAGCGACAGCGGTAGACGGAGGTTCTGCAGGTGAGGATCGTTGTGCGGGGTCTTCTGAGGTCCGCAGGCAATTAGTCGGCACGCGCTGTTTTGAGTGTGCGTCGCCTTTTGAAATTCAGATGTAGAGGCAAGCGTGACGGTCCGTGAGAGTGCTCGGCTTGTCACCCCGACACGTTACCTGTTCATGCATGAATTAAAAGGAACAACCCCGGAAAATAGCCTCCAGCAAATTGTTTGAGGAACAATTTTGGTGGATGCGTGCTTCTGTGACCAGGAGCAATTATGGCTTTCAGGTCTCTGCCTTGAGAGGACAATTTTTTTTATTGTGCTGTCACGTAGTATAATTTCACCCCGTTGTATACGACTGCAGTCGTGCGCCTGATGGTGAACATGATGCGTGGTTTTTGTCTCCGGTAGCACGATGTGTGCTTACCTAGTTCATTAGGCGGCTGTCACAAGTGGGTTCCGCTGTCAGCTTAAAATAGTATCTGCAGGTAAAAGTGACGAAGCTCGCGCTCATTATAAGCCAAGGACATGCTTGTTGTGTTTACAACGTTACCTATCACCTCCTGAGCTGCGACACTTGGGCTTTGTTGGGAGCCCTACGCATGCTTAAATAATCAGGGGATGTATTTTATGTCCCGTGTAATCAAGCCTCAAAGCAGAAATAAAATAGCTGTCTGATTGTTTGAGTCACCTGTGATATCTAGGCTGAGCAATATAAAGATCTACCATTATTCATGGGAGTCTGACATGCTGGGACATTGCTCTTTTGATCGTTGTTTTATGCTCGCGAAGAGCCGTGGCACTTTATTTGATGTCTGCTTCACGCTTAATAATGCTCACATCCATTTATATTGTCCACGAAGACGTAGTTTGAATCCCTCTATACTCGCCTTTGTTCCTGTATGTCAGAAAAATGCTTGCTAATTACACACGTTGGTACTATTTGCAGAGAACCTGGCCAGCGTTTGAATGCTACCTTTGCGATTTCACGCGCAATCACACTTATGTAAAACTCACACGAGCACTGTTTCCGTTGTGCTGCGCGTGTCTCTCGTGTGTGTTTTCGACCGCGAAGCCGACGACGGAGAGAGGCCGGGCCCCAGCGGAGTGCGGGCCACGCGTCCCAGCGTGACGCCGGCCGAGAGCGCACACGCAGAACACGAGCGGCGGGCGGACAACGCTCCAACCGACGGCGGCCCGGACGACGTCGGCGGTGCCCTGGCACCGTCGGCGCTTTTACCCCTGCCGAGGAGGGCGACCTCTCCACCCCGGCAGGACGAACCCGTGCAGGACGTCATCGACAGCTACGGCACGCTGTACCGGCAGGAGCGCGCCACGGGCAGCGATTCCCCACCGCCGCAGCCTCCCGCTGCAAGTGATGCAGGTCTGTAACGCCGCTGGCAGGTAGAATGTCGTGGGTTTACTCTGCAACACACCGGCGTGCTGAAGTCGTTAACTAATTGGCACGTTTTGTTTGCGTGCCAAACCTGACGAATTGGCTGTGTCTGCCGGTGGCGGGTTTAACGACACATTTATGCTCACGCGATCTCAAAAAAACCCTTAATTTGGGATAATATTGGTCGCTAAAGCCGACGTGTTAAACAGCTATAACTGTGCTCCCCCCACTGAACAATGCCTCCTTGACGACTTTTAAAATCGTTTGTGCCCAGACTACTTGAAACTTTCACTTGGGGTCATTTGCCAGATACCCAGTTGTAATGTGCAGATCTAATGAAGCCACTGTGCCCAATGTGTTAACTTCGAAGGCAATTACTGTGCGTTCATAATTTCACCACTGTTCTGAACTGCCGACTGGCGTATCGCTCCTTTCAACCACGTAACCATCATTGAAATAGTTTTTCCTCTAGGTACTTTCATGAGCCCCCTGCGCCCCCCCCCCCTTCTCATGGCATGGGACCCCTTGACCTTTTGGCCATCGTGTGATACCTGTGGAACCCAGGAGTGGAAACTGTTCCTTTTTGTATAATGAAGCACCACGTTCACTGCCACCTTAATTGGCAGCTCTTGTTTGCCCAACAGTTCTGCTCCGTCGCTGAACCATGGTTCGGCCTTTCCAAGTGCGTCTTTTGTGACACCTATAGTGCACCGTTGGAATGTGGCACTAAACATTGATTTGTGAAGTGATTTGATGCTTAGCCTGAGGAAGACCACGCTATTATCAATGAAATTGCCATGTTTTACCATTGTTCAAATATACTTTAGATAGCGCCATGGAGAATTTAGAAAAACTATATTGAATTCCTTTAACAATTGAACATTAGCAATGCTTGTTGACCACAGTGTACTTGTTTGCAATTAAAGCTTTCAATTCTACTTGTGTGCCATACAATGTCTTTTTGTTAGCCTAATATTTTGACAATTCTATCAGCGTACTTATTAATATCACCGTCTTAGTGTATCAAAAGGGTCTAGATGTGCTCTCAATGAAAACGTGGTTTAGCATGTTGATCGAGAAAAAAAACCCCATCTATTTTATGTTTTGCTCTTAGTTATCAGTGAAATACAAACAAAACTAAATCCCTGTCTTCTCGAGTGTATTTTTAGCCACAACGTGAGTGTTTCCAGTAAGTGTTTTTCAAAATGCTCCCGATAACGATTAGACCGTTTCTTTGGTTTTGCGAGACGTTTTGCTTTTGTGCTGCTCAAAAGGAAATCAATGTCCTTGCCATCAATATTAATAACGGTTTAAGCAGCCTCCATGAATCACCACCACTGGAGCCTCTTCTTGCATTCATGCAGGCGCGTACTGCAAGGCATCCTGTGTGGGTTTCCATGACAGCGTATTATTCGTACCCCATGAATTTTAATACACAATACGAATTTATTGTTATTTAAAGGCGTTTTAAAGTAAACTCACTTTAATGCCCTGCTGTCACCGAGGTACAATAATGGGGATTTACGGCTCGCTGACACGCGTTGAGCATCCGCTCGTGTCTTCACGCAAGCGCAGCGTCGTGCACGCGGCAAGCCGAGTGAAACCCGGTTGTGTGTTTTTAGACCTTGCTCATAGAATGCGCCTCTTAATTAAGTTGGACTTCATGACCTCAGAGCCACCTCTAATCCCAGCTTACTTAACTGCACAAGAAACTCGGCCTGCCGCGGGAGAGGAAATCTTGTTCACGCGTAAAACAAAAATCTTCATAGCAGTCCTTGTGTGGCTTGGGTTGTAGAAGTGCTTTTTCCTGCTGTGTTGTGTTCCATTAACTGCGCAGATTTTAACAAAAGCAACGGCGCCTGGGTGTAGCCAACAGCAGCTTGACAATTTGGGTCAGCCGGTCAGCTTCGCAAAAGTTTAGGGCACATGAGAGGTGTGACTTTTCATTACCCACTTCGCAAGAGCTGTGTCGCTCCATAGCTCCCCCATTGCGCCCCCCCCCCCCCCAATTCCCCGCTTCCCATCAGACTCCAGTGCTTGTGCCAGCGTGCTAGCCCAGAGCGCTGACATTGTGTATTGATGTGTCTGCTCTTTGTGGTACTTATTAAAAGGGAACCCGACACAGTTACAATACAGTCAAGTTTGAATGAACATGCTTTTAAATTGCGGTCCGTGTACTTGTGTGACGAAACGAGTCCTTTTTTTATGAGAAGCCCGCGGATATGGAAGTAAGTAATGTTTTCTGAAATATTGTGGAGCGTTTTTTTTGTCGTAGTTTTAGCGGCATTTTTATTTCCGCTCGAGATACGTTGCTGAAATTTGATAAATAAAACTGAAAGTGACACGGACAATGTTATTTGTTTCTCTATCTAGAGATGAAGTGGTGAATGCATATTGTCTTGTTTAATTAAATACGGCGAACAGAATGCAGTGGTTTCTTGCTTGGCTGTGAGTGCGGAGCTTACAAAAGGTTAGTGCTATTTCGGGAAAAGCCACAGTGTCCCATTAAAAAGGGTCACTGCGTGCAGCTTAGCACCCTGGCCATCACGCAGCACAGGGGCACTCTGCGTGCTCGTCTCTAGCAAGCCGCTGTCGACCATTGCTTCGGCTCGTATCAAATGACACCTGCAATGCGCCATACCCACCTTTCTCAACTGCGTTCGTGCTTTTAATGATGCCGAGCAGCAGTCTCGAATGATACCGCACACTGCCTGGTGGTGCACGTAGAAAAATAGTGGAAATCAAGCCGGAAACCCATTAAGCCATTAATTAATTGAATTATGAAAGTAATGATTCAGCTGAGAGCTCATTATGGACCAAACATTTTACACATTTGTGGATGCTGCTTTACAATATTTTTTTCTCTCCCGTTTATTTTTAGGTTCGAGCACCGAGGGCATCCTGCGTGCAGCTGGGCAAGCGCTGGTCCCCGCTGGCCTCTCGGATTCCGTGTCGCAGACCGACTCCGATCACGGGACGATTGCGCCCCCCTCCGTGGCCGTCGGCTCCGGTCCCCCGTCGGACGCCGGCCTTGGTGCCGGCCGAGAGGACGCCACTGCGATATGCCACAGACTGACGGTGGGCGGCATGACGGCTGTGGTGACACGTGGCCGGGTCACCACCATGGCTTCCATGGGTGGCTTCGGTAACGAGATCGTGGTGAGCCACGTCATTAACGCGAGCTCCCAGACGAGCACGGGCGCCGACGGGGAGACGGTGGGCCACGTCGCTGCGGTGCCGACCCCGCACGCCACAGACTTGCGTTCCGCCCTCGCTGCCGTTGCTGCCGCCGCACGGACCGACTCCGGTTCGTCCGTCGCGGCCGTTTTTGACGCGGATCCCCCAAGCAGTTTGTTAGCCGCGCTTCCAGCCAGCGCCGCCGGCGTGATTGAGACTCGTACTGATGCTGTAAGGGAAGCGGAAGCCTTTCACTCGATCGCTTTGCCCCAAAATGACACGGGGCTTCATTTTCCCATCACTGTGACAGAGACGGACAACTTGAGCCTGGCCGCCCTCGCTGCACAGTCCAGCAGCCAGCAGTCCGACGGTGCCTCGGTCGAAGCCCGGCTCATTCTTTCGTTGCGAGCAGACGAGGAGCCGTCCAGAGCGGAGAGCGTCGGCTCGGGAAGCCTGTACGATGCCCTCGCGTTGGGGATGGAGATGGGAAACCCTCCCAGCTCCCCCCCACCCTACCTCATCGCATCTTCCGAAGACGGATCGCCACAGGTGATCGGCCAGTCCACAAGCGACGACGACGATGACGACGACGACGAAGAAGAAAGGGAAGAGGCTGCGGCCAGCTCGTCCGTCGCTGTGGGCACGGACTCGGGCGAGAGATCCGGCTCGTTGCAGAGCAACAGGGTGCTGCTGGCGCTGACGCCGCAACCACCACCGGCCGCAGCTGCGACGTCCGAAGCCGGTTTCCGTGAGCGACTTCCGCCGGATCTGCAGACCAACTTCTCTCTCTCGGACGAGTGGCTGGGGTTCAGCGACGCGGACACGGCCGGCTCAGAGGCTGGCGGCGGCCAGGCGTCGCTCAGGGAGAGCCTGGGCTTCGTGCTCTCCTCGCTCGAACAGGAGTCTCCGGCCATAAACGTGGTGGACGCTGCGGGCACGGAGAGCGGCGATGACGACAACGACGATGACGACGACGACGACGATGGGCACGCGGATGATATAGACGGACACATCGAGGACATGTACTTCAGTCAGTATTCGGAATGGTGAGGCCTGAAAAGCCAGCTTCTCTTCCGGCAGGAATGCGAGGCTAACCAACGGCGCACCGCCCACCCAGACGTGCACAAGTAAAAATGGTGAAGCGATGTGATGTTGAGGTTGAATAAATGAATGTGGCGTCAAAGCGGAATTTTTTGATTCCGGCAATAGTTTCGAAAAATTGCGGGTTAAAGGGCATTCTGAAAACAAGTACATTTAAGGTCTCATTTCAAACAGAAACGCCGCTATGGACCTGTCTGACTGATAGTTTGTTGTGCCTCTCGCCTTGGCATATCCTAAGGCTGGTAGGGATGATTTCCTTACACAATACAACCAACACTGGTTTTGTTTTACTGACAATTTTTATTGTTTTTAGTTTGTGCTTTCACTGTGTTTCATTAGCAAACAGTATTGTATTGTCCATATTACGATACAGTGCAGATATAATTTAACGATGCGCAAAGTCTCTTCCATTTATTGACCGAAGCGAGGGCAGCAGCAAGTTCTGTGAATGTTACGTTTGCACTTCACTGCCACCTTGCCGCTCGATGCACCCGCGATGTACAAAGAGCCTTCGTCTTTAGCTGTTAATATTTAAAGGGGGTGAGAGGGAGGCATTTAATATTGCCCGTGTCAGCCACCGAACAGGTACATGCGCGAGCGCAGTGGCGCGAACGGTCAAATGCGTGTTTGTAATTTTGGAGCGCTCCCAGGCCCCCCCCGCTCTGCTCCACTGCATCGACTGTTTCATATCTGCAAGTGTGTATTTTGTTCTTTTCCACTAACCCATCAAAGTACAAACGTGGGTCGATTCAAGCCGGAGGAGATTCTTTTTACGGGTTGAGTGGCAACGTTCTCTCGTTGTGTTCATCAGAAAGGGTGGATCGTCGCTCTTGTGTTTGAGTCCATGATAGGGTTGAGCGAGGCCTTCATCCCAGCAGTGGGTAAATTATGGCCGATGCTGAATTTGCAACGTGGAAAAGTGCGCCACGTTTACAAATTTTTCAAATTGTTTTTGAAAGTTAATTTTATTACCGCCTACATACAACAAATAATGTTTCTTGCACATGATACTTTCTGTAAGCATTACTCGTGGAAATTAATCGTTGTATACGTTTGGTTATCAAGTAAAGCGAGCTGGATGTTTGACCCCGGTTTCAGATGTAAACAAAACTCGAATGGCACTTGTTTACAGTACTTTGTGGTTACAGCATTATGTTACAGTAGATTTGTGGTGGCTTGTGCGGTTTCACAAATGCAACGAATAAAACGCCGTTAAACTCAAAAGTTTTGTTCACGTTAACTTCCGTGACCGGCATGCGAATGCATGACCCTATAGCTGGGTGTCGGGAGTTGACGGGGGTGCTGTGTCTGTGTCTTCACTCCCACGATCCACAAAAGCAATACATTTGAGGCTTTGTGAAACTTGATAAAATCGGGGCCCGTCAGTTATCTTATACTTGGCATCTTCCTGTTTTTATCACAGGTTAAAAACCACTGCTGACCGATGCTCGGCTTTGAATATTGTTGGCTGCATGTATAAGAGCATGGCCATATGCGGCGAGTGTGGTGGTTCAGCATGAACCACTACCCCACAAAATAATTGGTGAACCTCTTATCGATTACAAAGCATACAAATTCTTCAATTCTTTAATCTAATCTTGATCCAGACACATGACAATTCATTGGATCTCTCGGGAGAGAGTGAGTGAATTATTGCAGGCCTTATCTTGGCTAAAGCAAGCTGTGGCTTTGGGACGTTACCTGTGAAAAATAAGCCAAAGCCTCTACATGACAGCATGATCACCTCAGACCAGTGGTTTCGACACATGGCAAGTTTACCATCAAATCGGTAGAGCTATCAGAACCCAGACGCCTGTAGTAAAGGTGAAGTTGGTTGGAATACCTTGGTTAAAATTGTAAAAAAAGAATGAATTCGCTCAAAATTAATAATATTAATGCACTTACCATGTGATACGTGAGGATTATACAAATTAAGAGAGACTTCTAACTGAAAGTTAACACGAGGCTTAAGTGTCTTACTCAAATGTTTTAAAGTGTGAATAACATCTTCCGATTGCCGCTTTGTTCATGGCAACGTTTTGACTGCGGCGGTCTTCACGATGAATGTTGGAAGCGTTTTTTTTTATCGGACCGTCATGCAAATCTGTGATGGTCGTGACAGGTTCACTCACGGAATGAGTTGATTTGCACGCGATGCTTATTGACGCGAAAGGTTGTACATTGAGTCTTGCATTTATCGTGTGCAGACTTCTTTATGAAACACCGGACCCTCAAGACTGTGGCACGTTCCACCGAAAGCACTTATGGCCTTTTGCTCACCGTTCTTTTTATATGTGCATTTCTACTGGACTTTAAAACGGAGAGGATACATTTCACATTTTGTGCGCGCGTAAAAAAACAATATTCCACCGTGAAATGCAAAGGCTAATAACAGTGAAAGCGAGGGCAGTTCACTTGCAAACTTGCGTCACGATCTATGTGATGGTATCAAAGCAACGCTTCCTGTCTTTAAATCGGGCTGAAACAAATTGAAAAGCCGTTAAGTTCCACAAAATTGCAAAGTTACAATTATTCCTACGTCTATGTAATGTTTTTGCAATTGCTGTCATCTAAGATGAGCAACGACATTCAGCCAAGAAAGAATGACATTTCTCTTGTGCCTCACACAGGCCTACTTGTGCCATCGGGAGTGGACCAGACGGTCGTCTGTTTGAGGCACACAGAGGTTCAGGCGAAGGAGACGTAGGTGCATCATCATCATCACCAGCCATGTTCGATCCACTGCCGCATGAAAGCCACCCCAAGCCACCACTATCTCGTACAATCCAGCGATATTAGTCGTCTATTCTAGATTTGAAGCTTTCGTGACTGCAAGGATTCATGCTCTTAGTTTTTTCGGTAAATGAAATTAAAATTAATTTTCATTTCTTTTTTTTACCTACGTGACTTTACCGAATAAACTAAGAGTATGTTAGTAGTCCACCTGACAACTGCCCACGAGGTGATTTCATAATTTCATCTCCTCGGTGGGTGTCCTCCTGGACGTTTTCCACTCGTTGACTGCCCTCCATTGTTGATTGTTATTTATAACCGTCGGCCATCAACCCTTCTCGTGATGTGTCCTGCCTGAGCCCATTTTTCGTTAGAGATTGTCAGAATCCGCAACCCTCCTTAAAAATTACAAAAAAATTACTTTGTGCATAAGAACCCCAATGAACATGGCCAGGAGTGTGTTTAACTATGCGATGCTCAGTTACACGAGGGGGTAAAAGAAATGAGTTTCGCATCACTGGTGTACTTTACATCAGAATATTTATACTGGAGGAATCCGGTGAGCTATAAAGCTCTTGTTCACAGATGTCCAGTAGGGGTGGGTAAGAATGTAACAACAGTACAAAAACATGATAGTGCAAAGTAAGGGTAAATAAATCACGCAAACATGCAAATACAACTAAACCATCACCATCCTACCAGACAAAGCCCACATGGTCATGTAGTTATACTCGGGCTTAATTGTGGCCAAAGAAGTTGGGAAAACAACTTTCTTCGAGGCCGGTTGTTGGTTTGGGGCCACCGTAGCTCAACTGCATCATAAATCCTGGAATTTTTCTTTCCATAATTACGTGTGATCGGCAAATCTTTGTTTTGTGGGTCCAAGGCAGCCCGCTGTGAGAGCCTCTGGCCCTGTTGTCTCACAAGAGGAACACAATCTTCGATAGGACAATAAGGGAGGCTTGACAAGTGGACGTGTTTAAAATTGTCCCTTAATAAAGACTGCCACGCTCGTAGTGGAGGTGGGGGAGTTCACATTATGCTTGTAGTCAGCTCGGCGAGACTAGAGTTATTTTTCAACACTTGAAATTACTGACTTGGGAAATAAGTCTGCTTTTTTCTCTCTCAGCAATGTATATTTGTGTCCCGGCATGCTTTGCACAAGTCTGGTAAAAAAAATGTTTGTTTCTCTGAAAAAATTTGGCTCTGGATTTCGTTTATTCACCTGCAAATGTAAAGCATTGGTTTTCATAAATGTGAGTGCTAAGCTATGTACATAACGTCTAACAACCACCTGAGAGCTGGTTTTGTAATGTACATTGTGTACAAATTATGTATATGCAACATATATCACGATGGCTGTGTTTCGTTAACCCAATCGTTTTATGATTTGAATAAATGGCGCTGTACGACTGGCCGAAAAAGAGTGTTGGAATTTTTTTCTTTCATGATCGTTTTCTAATGCCTCTTTATCCCGGGAAGCCTCATCGGAGGCTCCTGTCTTTTTCAGGAGGGTCCAATCCCAATCGAGTCGTTTGCGGGCAATTTTAAATTGTTTGTCCTACGACGCTGTCAAACCCACAGCCTAGTCTGGCAAATGACACCGCGAGATTTTCTAACGTTACGGACAGCGGAGTATTTGTACGGCTAATGCAACCGCGGTATTTAAATCGGGGAGTGGCCGCCGGATTTGAATCTTGAACCTCTGCAACAAGCCGCAAATGTGCTACCGCCGAGCCTATGGTAGCTCAGCGGTCAACAAATTCAACTTTCAGATTCATTGTAGAGACATGATTTATTCACACGTCTTCAATGTTTTAGCTTGGAAAATGTAAGCCACTTTCCCTCTTAAAACAGCAGTGCGTACAATTTCAGACTGAAATGTTTACATTGATCTAATATAGTTTCCCTCAAATGGATACTGATAGTTTTTTCTTAAATTGTATTTTTAAAAGGCAAAAAAAGTTGGTCTGTTTTTGGCACGGAAATATCATTATTCGGCATGATCAATACGCTGGTAAATGAAGGCCTCACGCCATTTGCCGTCTCTCGCAGCCCAGCCCGGCGATGTAAGAATGCAACCTGGTACCTGCACGAGAGGTGATTTCATCAGCGTGGAGCGATGGAGCAGACGTCTATTAAAGTTGCACTTTTTCCCCCCCTCTTTTAAAGGAGCGTCCCCTAATTTAGTAGATGTTCACGCTTGACCAGATTTCTGCGACTTTTCACCGAGCACAACTATGTTGTGCGTATTTTTTTTATACTTCAAAAGCGTCTTATTATAATCCGGGCAATACGGTATTTCATGTGGGTGTATTTTGGTGGCATTTAGGGGTTAACCTATTCACTATATCACAAGAGTGGAGGAACGCGGGCATCCAAAGAACGCACCTCCTGGCTTTGACATTCCTCAAGGACGCTGGTGCAACCATCAATTGCATTAGAACAGCGGTCGGGAACCTATGGCTCGCGAGCCATATATGGCTCTTCTAGTGACGGCATATGGCTCCCAGACAATTTTGAGTTGAAAAAAAATAAAATCGGTTTGGAACTGATTTTAAAATACTTGTGATATTGCTTAATAATACTGTGTCATTTTAAAGTAAACAGAAATTAGTTTTGAAGATAAAATTTCTCGGGTCACGGGCCCCGTGACCAGAA